TTTTGTAATGAGTTCTGTTTCTTCTTTGAGGCATATACCTAATCTGGCCCATCTTTAGGCAGTTGATTTTAGACAATTTCAGAAATTTTCTAAAATGAAGGAAAGCAGATGTATCTGTATACTTCATATATACATTTGAAACATGCATCTTAAAATTACAGCTTACTCGTATAAAACAAGTACATCACACATATCACTGTTTTTTGCAGATTTCAACTAAAATATTTGTAAAAATTAAATGCATTCTTCGGACAAATATAGTTAAATAATCTATGAACTTGTGTAGAAGTAGAGAACCACTGGAAAGCAATAATCCACAGGTACAATAATGAAAAAAAGAACACCAGAGATATTATGTAAGATTTGAGGCTTTCACGGCGGTGACTATGAAGAAAGCAGTCTTCTGGGCTTTGGCGCCGTGTATATGTGGTGTTAACCGACGTTTCGGAGGAACGTATCGCCCCCATCTTCAGGGTTGAAGAAAAAGTATAGGTAAATCTGCAAGCGACAACACCGTGAGACAGTCTGCGTTACCGTGTCTCACGGTGTTGTCGCTTGCAGATTTACCTATACTTTTTCTTCAACCCTGAAGATGGGGGCGATACGTTCCTCCGAAACGTCGGTTAACACCACATATACACGGCGCCAAAGCCCAGAAGACTGCTTTCTTCACCAGAGATATTGCCTCAGAAATGCAAAGGAATTGAAATGCTGGACATATAAACTGAATGGTTATTCAGGTTAAATAACCTGAAATCAAATATTGCTCTGTGAAATGAGAAACTGGACTGATATTTTCTTAGTAGGGAGGAAATGTCTGTTGTTCTTCCATCACCATATTCATGGGTACTTCTTTGCTACTGTCTATAATACAATATCCATTATGAAGTTGTAATTTCATCATACTACTCCCATTCTTAAGATGTTATGTCACTCATGATTCCATATGACCACATGAAGCTAATATGAGACAGGGCAAGAGATATTTATGTTATATAATCCACAATCTAATAAGAAACAATGCACTCAGATCAAAATTTTTTTGATGGAGCGCAAAGCTTGGGTCAGAAGGCCACAACAGTAGATATACTTAACTATATATATATACAGGAAAGGAATTTTAATTATGATTGTTTGAACTGCCCAACATAATAAGCCTTGTCATAACTTTGGGCTATTCATGTACTACTAATAATATCTTGAAAACTGAAAGGGAGAATTTGGCCATTCCCATCTCTAGCTGCAGTTCTCACAAATTTCTTTTCATTGATCCATACCTATAAATTTTAGACCTTGAGGGATTAATTGAAATTATGGCTTCAGCAAAATATGTATACAGTGTAGTAATATTTTTGGCTGAATATGTAATAATGACTTAGATGTCCATAACTACCATTCATTGCAGTCATCTTCTGGTCCTGTTATTAAGTCTATCAGTGACCCATATTACTGAATAACACATACACATACAAAATAAATCATAAACTGTATCTTATTAAACATATATATATATTTGTGTAAATGCGGCAATTATAGTTAAATAATACACTGTACTATTTCTGTCTGTTAACAATTTATTCTAAAACAGTCTCAATATGCTACATTTGTTGATTCATATACTATATTTTGGATACTATCATCTTGAAACTAGCAAGCCAATTGCAAGACAACAACGTGGCAGTGTTTCCATGGGTGCTGTTATATAACAATGTTACTGGCTTCCAAAGAGGCACAGTTTTGCTAACACATTCAAGTAAGTTCCTCATAGAACAAGAACACTATGACAAGGTGCTGGAAATTCTTAGATACTACATATTACTTCAAAATTTTAATCTGATTTCTGGTAGCATATCATGCATGTTATATTTTAATATGTTACATGAGGTGAATGGTTTTAGGTATTTTTTTATCCTAATCTCAGTTCAGGCCTGTATGATTTGACTGAAACTTTTTGTAGTTTAATTAATCTCTCCTCGCAAATGTCAGACTAGAACTTTGAAAGAGGAAATACTTGTTCCTTCTACATTCCTACTAACTCACCACTCAAAAGTATCTTCATATTTCATCTGAAAATCTCACAGATTCTCTTCCTGTTTAAACTATTTTAATGTATCATCTGTAATTATGCAAAATATACACAACTAAACTCAAAATACTAAAATGTGTATAATTAAAACATCCATTAGGCACGGTCATGCTCAAAATGTTTTCCAATTACTCAAAACCATATTCCGAGAATGTATGCAGTAAGAAATATTGCATAATTAAATTATGTCCCTTTGCCCCATTTTGTTACCTGGTGAAGATAATATCTGTATATACTCATGATATCATGTTCTATATTTAATTTTACAAGTCCTCAATTCTTTCATTGGGCTGGATTCAGATTTGTATCAATTTTGTGTAAAAATAACGTACAGTGTTCCCTATTATACTGTGTCTGCAGTACATCTCAGTGGAAGATTATACCATCTCTGCTGTGGTATCATTACTTCCATGTGCTATAAATGTCCAGTGTTTACAGAATATTAAGACATAAGAAAATCGTGGTAAATATTTTCACACTTTTACTTTCAAAAGTGACTTGGTTAGAACGTGATACAGACAATAAAAACGAGCTGCTTCTCTTCAATATATCACAGACTATCAAGTTGTTAAGTCACTAAATATACTGCAGAGTAATACTTTTTTGAAGTAATTCATGTAGAAACAAAATTGTATTTATATTACACAAGAAAAATGTTAGAATCATGGCAGGTGCCAAAGGTAGAAATTCATGAAGAGGTCTAGTTAAGAGATTATAAATCTTACCTCTAGATAACCAAGAATATTTTCACATTAATTTACATGTATGTATGTAGTATTATCACAAGGAAGTAGCCCTGTTTTCATACATCAACTGTCAACTTTTCATGTTTTCAGAAAAGTGCATTCCGTGCTGTATTAAAATTTTCAGCAATCTGCCATTTAGTCTCAAAAATCTTATGAATGAAAAGATAACAATTTAAATTAGCACTAAATAGGTACTTATATACATACTCATTCTACTCTGTTGATTAAGTCTTGTTATCTAAAACTGGATCATATTCTACTCAAAGGTCTGTATAAGTAGTGAGTTGAATGTATTGATATATGCCTCATATGAAACCTCTGTGTATTTTAGATTCATTCTTCTTTTATTATGTGAAAGCTTAAGTTGTGCTGTACATATGTTTTGTTTTTAGGACCTACTCCACATCCTATGGGATTTTTGATTAATTTCAGATCCATAGAATTCAATGTATGTTTTGAAGACGGTGAATACATAACAGCCAGGAATCCTTCTATTGCATTTTATATTTCTTAAATTTTCAAACTATATACAGAATAACAATGGAAGAAATAGAATTCCTTAGTTTAATTTGTCACTGAAAATTCATTACTTAATTCTGGGAAGGAGTTATCCAACCAGTATCATTAGTGCCTCCTCCACCTATATTCTTTTCTGCGTACAATTGCAGTTTTAAGATTGTAGTGATATTTTAGGTTCTCAAAGACCTAGCACTAACATTCCATTAATAATCTTATTTCATACAACAGATTGTTTTATATTTTAAAATTCCTACTATGACAAATAACCAGAATTAAGCAGGAAAGCATGTGATGGGGAGAGACAGAGAGAGACAACGGTTTTCTTTACCAGCTCACAGCATATGAAAGAACATCACTCAGAAGAAAATCAACATTGAAGCTTCATTTGTTAATTACTTCTGCTCCAACATAAAACATTTACATGACTGTAATGAATGTGCAATTTTTTCATAGTTACAGTGCAGCATATCTGAATAATTTACAAATTTCTCTCTGTTAATATCTTTATATAGTACAGTTAATAAAATTTTCTACATAACGACTATTTGACAATATGGAATATATTTAACAGATGCTAATAGCTGAAGTGTGTTAAAAAATGAAGTTTTATCATGTACTAAAACTAGACATTATAATATGTTTGACTACTTGTATCAATAGTCTTTTACTTTAAACAATATTAACTCTAAAATACTTATACAAGTATTGTAACCTATAACACCCCAGATTGTGTAAGACAACATAATTTCAGTCTCTTTATTCTTCCACATAAATCATGTCACTTGAATGCTGATATTATTTTCAGGTGGGATATAGACTTAAAACAAAACAAACTCCTTGTCCTGTAGTCCACAAGGAAAACCGAGCAACCACTGCTTGTCAGTGAATTTAGTACCAACTTTTGCAGATAGAGGATGTCACGTGGTCAGTGTAATGGTTCCCTATGACTGTTAAGCTCAGTTTTCTAGACTGGAGCCTCTATTTCCTTGAAATAGCTCCTCAATTATCCTTGTAAGGTCGAGTGGACCCTGTTTCAGACCCACTACTTCTCATAAAATCTGGTAGTGCCAGGAATCGAACCCGGGATCTCTGGATCTGTAGCCAGGAACTCTGACCACTAGACCACAGAGGTGGTCTGGATATAACCTTAATTAACAAATCAAAGAAATTAAGTATAATTTTTAAAGCAAAATATCTTTATTATTCAAATGTTATAGGACATTACAAATATACTTAATAAAAAAGTTCCTTGGAAAGCATGTCTCTGCTAATTTTGTTCGTTTTGAAATATAAGTGTTCAATCCACAACCAGCAGTGTTACACATTAAAAACCAAAACCCAAAAAGGATGAAGAAGAATGTATTTATATATTTAGTTAAAAAATAAAAAAGTAACGCTATCCCTGTACCAGGCTGTGAAGGCCCATAGGGTTGTGAGACGTTGAGGGTCTCACATTACCTAGACAATCGGCTCAAAGATGTCAGCCTTACGCACCAGCTGCACTTTACTCCCCAGGAAAATTATTTAATTAATTCCTGGTACTCATGTCTGTTAGAGGCTGAGTGAACCCCAGGGCCATAGTGCAGCTGGAAGGATTAGGTCAACTGAAAACAATCCAATTACCTCATCGGGACTTGAACCCGTGGCCTTCCGGCTTGTAGCATAGCCCCTCAACCAACTACGCTACCACGTAGTTACTGATTATTTAAGGACACTGTCAGTAGTTCAGACTATACAGTGTCAAATGAGAGGATAATTAGTGAATAATGAAAGGGATATATGTGGAAAGAAGAAGTGGTCATGGCTGAACTTGAGTTACTATCTTAAGAATTACCTGGAGTGACAGGAAAAATTGAAAAACCTCAGTTATGATAACTACTTTCCAGTCTGAGATTTGAAACCAGGACCTCTTGAACTTGAAGCAGGGGTGGTAACCACTCCACTATGATGGTGGGTGAAAATTATTTTATGAAGGGATTCATAATCTGGCTCTTAACCTAATATTCTTTGGCTGAATACATTTTAGAGGCTGGGTCAGGCAGCACAGATGGCAAAATTATGAATGCTTAAAAAATGTTGGCTTGGAAAACTCAAGTGGTTAGACCTTGTGAAGACTTGTTCATAGATGAGAGGGCTATATTAAAATATATTTACAATATTGAGTTCTCAGGAATTTCATGAGCACTTGAGTAACTATAAACATGTCAAGAGAAAACCTGCGTTATGAAATCTGTAAGTTAATTGTAATCCCAAAAATACCAGTGCCTTATATTGTGCTACAGTACTTCATTTTCAGTTAACCTAAATAGAGGTTTTACAGTTTGTCTTCCAGACACATGCAGGAGAGTCCCTTACCCTACAGGAATCACCTACCTCCTATAACTTTATTTATACTCTTTTCCTCCATATGAACTTCAATTATTACCATCCTTTCACAATCTGGATCACTTTTCCAGTTGTCCCATTTAACAAGATCACTGAAGCTAGCAGTACTCATATCACTGACAGACAGAACTTGCAGCCCTCTTTCTTGTACACTGATAGGTGGAGATAAGTGGTCAGTCAATTTGATGCTGTGGTTATTTTGCTCACAGCAAAAAGTTCCCCTGATACTGAAGGGATAAGAAAATGAGAGGGCCACAAAACTGCAATACTCTGGACATGCTTGTGACATCTTAACCATAGGTTGGCATCTGTAATCCTAGTTCATTATGATTAAGGTTGGCAGCATTTCAGCACTGTATTGTTATTAAATATGGAAAGGATTAACATAAAATAAAAATCTGGAAGATGGAACTAGAAATGACGGCTTGGGTTATTTAACCATAAGTTCCTGCAGATTCAAGAAGAGAAAGAAAGAGTAGTGGTGACAAAGAAGAAAGTCTTGGCACCTCTATTTGAATTTAAACTCTGGTAATAAAAGCTGGAGCTTTTCATTTTTAAATCTCATGACTCATAACAATTTAAGAATTCACTGAAAGGTTAGAAACTAAGACTGTGTTGTCATTACTTAAGTGTTTAACACAGAAAATGTAAGCCTTCACACTAAATTATTCATACATAATTATATAAATGCAATGTGGATAATATGTAAGCAGATAGTATGAAGAATTATTTCAGGAAGTACAAGACAAGGTTCAAAATTCTGGAAAATGGTAATTCATTGAGAATTTGTATGAAATGTAGTATGAATTTTATGATGTTTTCATACACCTATAGATCAACAATCACAGTTATTTATGGCACTGTGGCATATAGTTTTAACAACTTCATAATTAGGTGGGACCAGTAAAATCATGAACCATGCACAAATGACACAAGACTTATGCATCACATGAGGGATTTAAATATCTTATGATTCCTTTCTATGACCTTTCCCATTACATATATAAAGGATGCCAACAGTTTGAGGTCTCTTTTATTTAATGTATAATTGTAGCGCCAAATATTATATTATATCCAAAAATGATTTTTAGCATAAGCATCAGCTTAAAATACTGGAGATGGAACACCAGAGAGCCATTTATTTGAGCTTAATATGGAGCAGACATTTCTCCTTTCAACATATAAAAATGAACCATAATGTGAAAGAGTAAGTAATGTACATGTATATATTAAAGGCTGAAGATCTGCTTTACTTCTGCAAGAATGGCATTGAATTTATCCATTAATATACATAATAACTTGAAAGTTCTTGAACAAAGTAGCGTGGAATTAGAGGGAACTAATATTTTAGTTAATTTTCCATATGATTATGCTCTATAATCCAACTGATTAATTTTTTTTATTAAATTTTGGGACTATAAAGTTTAGAGAAAGAATAGATAAATACATAAACTCAGAAGATTTTACAAATAGATCAGAAATTTGTGTACCTACTAAGCTAGATACATAGAGTGCTGAAGTGAATATAATTTTTATGAGTAGTTGCTCCAGCTCCTAATAATAGTTGTAAGATGAATAAGATGCAAGAATAAAACGAAAAATCTCTCAATTTTCAAATATGATTTGCAAATATTTTTGTTGTAAAACGAGACTCTACTTCATATCCACAAATATCTGTGTATGTGTGAAAACAGTGTTTGAACTTTGTTGCCAATTTAAAAGTTTATTCAGGATTTGATATCCCTATAACATTAAATTTCATGCAAGTTTTAATATGTTTTAATTAACTGGTATGTTTGAAATCTACATATAAGCAAGTCTCCTGACATTACTCATATTTTGATTCAAATGGTACCCCCAAAGACACTAATGAAGACCGAAATCAAAAGCAATAACAAAGGAGAAAATGTGAAAGACAGTAACCAAAATAATCATAAATAAAGCATATAAAGAATCCAATCTTAAATGCTGAATATTGGATATAAGGATAAAAAGCTATCCTATAATTCTTGCACAGAACTAACAGAGCTGAAGTAAAGTGTCCCAAAGCACATACTTTTTCAAAAATATATTCCTTACATGATCAATTACTGGATGGGATTAATGTCATATAGGCTGCCCTATTATTCCAGAATAAATTTCCTTGACACTTAACTGGACATATGAGGTACAAACAACAAATTCCCTGTTGCCTTTGGAAACATTTGTGTTTAAAGATAACACTGCATTTCTATATCCATGTATTTTCAAGTTAATTCAGTGGAAGAGAGGAATTTAGTTGACATTTTAACATATCTGCTGTCAGTGGTGAAATGATTTGGACTGACCTGTATCCCGTGTTCCTAGTTGCATAATTTTTTCTAATGGTATACTATGCTGAAGGAAATTGTGAAAGTGATAAGTAAAGTCAGATTACTGTACATTCCTCTAGTTTCATGTTTCTTTCTATTATCAATATGAGATTGAATTAAATTTGGTTTTGAACTTACATTTAATTTTGCTGTCACATAAAAACACTATGGAAAAGTTCCTTCTAGTTTGTAAAAGTGTATTGCAATTCCTAAGAAGAGATGTTAATGGAACAGTAGTTGTAAGAGCTGGAAAATATAAGTAATAATTATTTTTTAATAATAAATGTATGTAATATATTTAGCCTAATCTTTTATGAGTTTCAGTACAGACAAATCACACGTGACTGGTAACATGATGCTGGTTGGTGTAAGCAATTGAAGGTTAAGTTTAATTTTCTGTTACAATTTTGAATGTATAATGAGAATAATTATGTTGACTAACTTCCTTCTATGCTTCCAAATTGGTAAGTAGCAGGAATATTTAACATTTAAGCTTTTCTAACAAGTTAAGCAATTGATATACCTAACAAAATGATAAAGGGACAGCTTACTAAATCCTTCTTCCAGTTTTATGATTTGTTAAGTTAAAAAACAAGAGAAGAATTTTAAACAAAATTTGTGTCTTGCGCAAAACCTATTAAAATGGTGAAAATGGGGAGAATGTCCTTCATTATAAAGAACTCAAATAATTTCAATATTGCTGGCTTTTATGGTTTCTGTATATTCTCCTTACTCATACTATTTTGCGCACATTATATGTCTGAAAAATGTATATACATTTTAAAAGATGGAAGCTACTGTTAGTGTGCCTTATGTAACAAAACTTTCAGTTTAAAAAACAATTACAACTGTTACAGCATGTTAAGATAGCTGTAAAGCTGCAGAAAACATAAATGGATAAGAAAATGTAAGCAGTAAACAAAATATTTAAATCTGCAGTTTGACTTCTAGACAGTTTATTGAAAGACTGTAAGTATATTCCTTTAGTAATTTATTTAAAGATTACCTATTATTATGCACAATAATTTAAATCCAAATTAATGCTCAATTCTGACATTAGGAAATCTGTTATTACCATATACAGAATGAATAAATGAAGGAATTATTGCTAGATAATTTTGTTATTAATTGTGTAATATTTAAAAAAGAATTATTGTATTGTGTAGATAATGGTTATCTTCTATTTTTCCAAGTATATGTAATTGGTCTAGAGAGGAAACACATGTGAAGGTCACGTTATCTCACACAACTGATAAAAATATCCACCTATTTTATAAAACATATTTACAGCACTCACAACTGTTGCAAGTACAACATAAGTGGAAGACCCAGTAAATTGCCAAGATCATTTTTGGTGTCCAAGAACCATACCCTTTTTCTTTTATTATTTTTGAAGAAGTCACTACCATTTATACACATATATCATATTTTATCTAAAATGAAATTACATCTGTTAGAAATTATTATGGCAGTCTTACATCCCATTTCTTTACTGGTGTTGAATATGTGTTACAAATGGATATACAATGTATATATCCTGTGTTCAACATCATGCACTAAAATTAACTGCCCAGTTATGGATCAGTTTACCATAACTCTTCTACTTCTGTACATATTTTGTAATTCACTAAGCTAAGTGATAATTTGATTACTAAAACCTTTATAAATTTCCTATTCTTTAACTTTTACAATTTAATCTCACTCTACTTTTCTGGCAAACAAGGAAATGTTCAATATATTAAAATGATATATGCTGAAGTATTGTAGAAGTGTGTTGGAAATTACTAGTTAATCTCTATAATGCCTATGATATGAACCCATGAAAACATGAGATGAAGGGTTAAATGTTCCAAGTTTATCGCATGAAATTCAAAAGGGGAATCTGAAAAATCTTTTTATTCTTTTGTATTATATGTATATTTTTGCATTTATATGAATACTTTAAATTCTGATAATCTACTTTAAAGAAATAGCACCAAATGCAGCAGAAAAAGTAAAAAGAAGGTTTACTGGAGCTCTCACTTCTCATGATTTCACAGGCTCTGGTACAAAACACAGATTCATTTTACAAAACGCTTCCCTACATGGAAGTATACTATTTATTGCTGTCCATCCGCAATTATCCATGGACAGGTTACTTTCTGTACACAGTTCCTGTTTGGGAATATCACTTCCCTACCAGGAGTGCTGGCATGTAAAGGGAGAAATCAACCTTCAGTTTCCTTCAACCAACCAAGACAATTTAGCATTAAAAATTATTTCATTATTTCAGGGAGGATCAGTAACTTCTTTTGCACGTATTGCCCTTAACAAATGACTTCTTAGTTCGGATTCAGAGCTACGCCATAAAGCTACTAATTCTTCTTTATTTAAACGATCTAGAGGAGACTCACCATTACTCCCACTACGTGGGTGACAGAATGGTGGAGGAGGTGGTGGAGGGATGTCATCAAACACTTCATCACATTCATGTGATGATTCTCTATGGTGACGATGATGGCGGTGGTGCTTCTGACGATTAGGACTAACTGCTGAAGATACATCTGGAATTGAAGATGAAGTTGCTAAAGATGATTTATCTTGAGAAGGTAAATCTGTCCTTACTGGATGACTTTGATGTCTTCTTCTTGCTGGACTTCTAGAAGATGATGATGATGAAGAGTTCTCATGTCTTTGAACTGGCACAAGAAATTCTTTGGTTGAAGACTGAGAAGAGGATGATGGTGATAACACTTGGTGCTGAGAATTGTAGGCAGTTTCCAGACGTGGTTGATGACTCTGTCGTCGCCTGAATTGTTGTCTCTTTAATGAACTGTAGGGACTGGGGGAAGATCCTACAACATTTATGTGCTCTTGTGAAGCTGAATCATGGATTCTTGATGGTGTGTTATATGTTTCAGAGTAATCGTTTGTCTTCTCAGGTGTGGAATCACAGCATGTAACATTAACTTCAATTATTGATTCATACGGCAATGTAAAGTCTGATCTTTTTAATTTCTGGTGATGCACAATAGTTCCATCAGGTTCAGGTGCAGGTTTAATTTCATCTTCTTGTGAGAGGCCTCTGTTATTGTCCAGGCTGTGGCTTCGTCCAGAAGTAGAATTGAGATCCCTATGCTGAATAACATCAACTTGAATTTCAGTTGGGCTAGGAGTTCTTAACCTAGGCCTACTCTGCATTGCTTCTCTAGCACATGTATCAGAACGCACTCTGTCTCTATACTTTGGAATTGTAGACATGTTAGAAGTCCCATTTGAGGAACTAGGAAAACTCTTATTCATTATTGATGGTATTGGACTTCTTGAGCGAGATCTTGATAACTTTTCAGGTCTAGAGCTAACATCAGTACTACTTAAGCTTCCTAAACGAGAACCAATTGTATTGAGCCTTTCTTGTACTGAACTTACCTCTGGTCGTCGTCCACCTATCTCATGTTTTGAGGAACTTACATTTGTATTACTGCAACTCCCCAATCTTGGAATTATATTTAAACTTGAACCACTTGAACGTGTGTCTGGCAACCTTACATCAAGATGTGATCTCCCTTGCTGGAACCGTACGTCTAAACTGCTTAACTTATCCTGTCTTGCACTCACATCCAAATTGCTGCACAATCTTGAGTTTATATCAGGGGGACTATTGCACCCACCAGAATCCTTACTAAGACGTCTTCCAACAGCATTAGAAGGACATTCTAACCTTGATCTTAATGGACTAAAGATCATGTCTGTGCTGAACCTCCTGTGGGCATTTGGGCTTTTGAACTTGGTATTCCTGCTGCCACCAGGACTGAATATGTCTCTGTAGAATTTTCGAGCCTCTAATGCATGAGGACTCTTTGTTTTCCCAAATTTTCTAGGAGAAGACTTGGATGGGGGACTCAAAGTACTTTGGGGATTCTTATTGGACCTGTATTCTGTTTTGATGAGGTTGCTAGGAGTCTCTGCTTCTGTCTCTGGAACTTCCTCCTGGAGAACTGACTGATCACGTTCCTCTTGTTGAACTCTGTTACAAAAAAAGGATAAAGCCTCAGTAAATCATATTCTAATACACAAATGAGGTATGACTGGGAACACAGTCATATTTCATAATAGGGACTATCCTCTTACATCACCACCACCATCATCGTCATCGTTGTCGTCAAAACTTATTCATCTTAAATTAATGTGGCAATTTGTGTTTATATATATATAATAAACATAAATAATGATGATGGTGATGATGACGATGACGATGACGACGACAATGATGCTGATGCTGATGATGATGACGAAGATAATTACTGGAAGAGAAAGTGCTCACAAAACTGGGCTGATTCTGTCATCAAGGGGAGACACACCTCTATTCTAATTAAGTGGAATGTAATATTTTATAACAAACAAACATGTTCCTTCACATTGTAAATTTTGTGTTTATAAAATAAAATTCTGTTTTATTCTTCCACACACTTTTAACTTTTTTTTTTTTTTCGCACTGAAGTTCCATTTTAATTACTTTTCAACATTTATTTCTGAGTTAGTGAAAGCCACAGAAAATATTATAATTTGCATAGATAAATCTTACATAACTGACACAATATATATTCTGGTTTAAATATATTGTGAATTAAATCTAAGTAAATTAATATTCAGGCACACCTGCGAATTTCCTGGATCATTTCAAAGAACTGAGCTTTGCTTTTTCTTCTGCGACGTTGTTCATGTTCCTTCTGAAACAATGGACATCATATCACAAACCTGACAACAAAATGTTTACTCTGTACTAAGGCCACAGAATGAGGTTCCACGGATTTATTCACTACGCAGCTCCTTCCAGCTGTTTTGTTTCTCTCTCCAGCATAGTTTCATACATTCCTCTCCAGTTCTCCTGCCAGTTGGTTAAAAGGAATGTTTGTAGTGCTAGCTTTCACTAATAAAATGTGGTCTGGACTGGTTGACGTACACCAGAAGGAGACTGCGGGAATACAAAAGCAGGAACATAGGAAGAAACCTATAGTGCGTCCAACCCCACCATCCATGGGACTACATTCAGTTTCCTCAGTGTACTAAGTATAAATCGACTGATTAGACATAAATCTATTAACATGATGGTTTTCACAAGAGTACAAATTATTACTGAATACTCTTACATACCCTCTTGACACTTTTTTGGAAAAGGCTTGTTATCTGGCCCTGCCTAATTGTGTGAACCAATTCCCGTGCTGCATGGTGTGGTGATACGAGCTCAACACAGTTGATGAATCGGTACAGTTTCTACAACATAATAAAGAAATCTTTCATAACAAATATTATTAACCTATTGTAGCTTCCTTCNCATTATTATTATTATTATTATTATTATTATTATTATTGGAGGGGGTGGGTTTCCCCATGCACCGCGACCAGTGGTCTATTGTACGTCCCCCTGTGATATTCTACCAGTCTCTATACCCTACCGATACTGGTGCGTGCCATCAGTCCCGTCTCAGCCAGCGAGTTCGGCCTCTACTGGCTCAGCGGTATCTAGATGCTTCCCCCATCTACCAGAGGCGTTAGAGACTATTGTTGGGTGGGAAATGTCCTTACAAATTTGGCTCAGAGGCCTCCTTGAGGCATGAGGTTCTTTTACGTGCTGTAAAGCTATGACACGGGACCCACGGCTTAAAGTCCCTCCCGGAGGACTTGTTACCTGAATTTTTCCGTCCTTAAAAATTCCACGACCTCCGCTTGGTTTGAACCTGCGTACCTTGAGTCATGAGGTGGGAATGTTACTCCTAGACTACGGAGGCTGCTAGCATTGAGACATAGAATGAATATATATTATGTAGCAGGCCATGAATGAGTGAGCTGTCTTTTGTCTCTGGTAAGTAATGGTTTTCTCTGGAATAAGGCATATGTAACAAATACGATTCCTGTACCAATATTTCCATTTTACCATCGATTTCAATACACTGTGTTTGAGTACACTCCATCTGTACATGTCTCCTGTTAATTTCAAGCATATTTTACTTCAGAATAAATGATCAATTGAATAAATAAATGATTAATAATTGAATGATTGTGATTACTTGTGGTGTATATGCCTAATGTCATTATGCACCTCACTAGTAAACCTACGGAATACAGAGGAATATGTTAGATATGATTCTGAACCTCTTCTGGGAAATGTATCTTTGCAGTAGACCTGTATAAAATGGAAGACTACATTATTTTAATGTGTTCACCAAGATGCTCAAAAAACTTCTTTACTGACATGCTCAACGTCTCCTAAACATAAAACTGCTTTATCAATACAATGTGTAGATTAAATTACAGTAGACTCTTTCCCGATATTTCCTTAATTAGTGATGCAATGGTTGCAAATTGTATCTGAGTAGCAATAATGTTGTTGCCAAAATATGCATAAACCACATTCCCTTTTATTATAGCAAACCAGTATTCTTTAACATTTCTTCTAAACAATTGAATTCGAAGTTCTGTTTGTATTTCTTCTCCCTATTTCTGTGGAATCAGCTTATAATAAACAGGATTCCTACATTAATGTTTTCTGTTGATTTCAACAGGTTATTCTCCAGTTTGTGCTAAAATATTCATATAAAGAACAACCGAAATAAGCAAATAATCTGATATACTTTGAATTAAATTAAGACACTGACAAAAATCTGATGTATTTTAAGTGAAATGAGTAAGGAAGCTATCAGTAATCCAATGCATGTAAAATAAACTGAGTTGCAATGCTGTCAAAAATCATACATCTTTCTAATAAACTGAATAATAATAAGGATGCCACTATAACCTGTTGTATTTACATCAAAATAAGTTAAAGCTGTCAACAATCCAATATCTGCAAAATAAAGTGAGCAATGATGCTGTCAGTAATCAAATATGCTTTAAATTAAGTGAGAAATAAGGCTGCCAGTAATGTGTTGTATTTCAAATAACCTGAGTGAAGACACTGGAGCAACCTGGCATTTTTGGAAACAATTGAGCTGATGAAGCAGTAAGAGAGCTCCCTAATTGAGAATCTCTTGGAAGTGAATATTAAAATTTGGAATGTGACATGCTGTATTTTGATAGATACTAGTGTTTTGGAGGAATTTCCCTTCAAAATTAATTTGCGTTATATCCCAGAGGAACATAATCTTAGGCCTCTGACCTAATGATATAATCAGCAAAGTTGTGGATTTCACATTGAGTTGCTTCAATTCATCAGTACTGAATAACATTTACATCTGAGGTATGGGAAAACTCTGTTATTCATGGCATTCAGGCTTTAATGAAAACATTTCTGATAATTAAGTTTACTGAAATAAATAATACTTAATTCTGCGCTCACCTGACTAAAGAACATGATATTTCTGCTTCTCCAGATAGTTCCTTTGGGCTGGTGCCGAAGAATGGGAAGAGTGTAGCGATAGAATAAATGTTCAAAGATAAGAATGAGGCAACCTAGTACCATTCCTAAACCCAGAAGTATAAATACCCCTGAAAATAAAATATATAATTATATTAATTCCTGTCACATTTAAAAATATTAACTTGTACTTTAATATTTCATGCTGAAGGGGTTTCATTTCCTTCATGTTTTTCCTTTAAACATTCACTGCGTTGGCTCATGTGGTTATCGACATACTTGAGAGGCACCTGGTTTGAATCTCGGCTATGGCACCAAATATACTGACTGATGTTTTCTGTGATTTTCCTCAGTCCCTTGAGACAAAAGCTGGGATAGTACCTTAAATAAGATTACAACTGTTTCCTTCCACATCCTTCCCAATTCATTATTTACTGCCTATCCAATCATCTGACACTATATGCCTATAGTCTGAGTTACTGAAAATGTCATTACATGAAGAATGAGAAAATAAACAAATAAAAGTATTCCCATATATAGACAGTAATTCTTGATAAATTTACTATGCTCTTAAGAAGACTGTTATTAATGTTATGAATGCAGTTCAAATAATACTACAAGAAACCTACTCTAAACAACACAGATTACTGATGAATTCAAAACTACAGGTATCTATAAACTTACATCTCATACTGTGAAAGGAACCTAACTGGAAAACAGGAGGCTACTTTTATATTAGATGAAAGAAAAGCACATGTGACACTAAATCAATACAGAAGACTTTATATATACAACATGCATTCTAAATAATAATCATCAATATGGTAAAATAGAAGATATAATGGAAAAGAAGTTCTGTGAAGAACCAATCACTTTTTTACTCTGAAACGACATGGACCGCACAGAAAATGATGCATATATGTGTTGGAGTTGGTGTTTCCTCTGTGGTCTGCTCCGAAGTTATATGAACAGTGCAACTTCCAGCTTTCAGGAATTAGAGGTAGAATATACAGAAAAACACAGAGAAAACAAGGTGATCTTATAAGCCTCATTTTATTTTTACAACACAAGCAAAAGAGGCTAAAAATAGACAACATAAGGACAATGAATATAAAAGAAACATTCTAATGGCTATTTACATAAAGGGTATAACCATTTAATAGAGGAACAAAATCAGAAAGAAAACTAATAAACTCTTTGAAATAACACTAACCTCATAAAAATGGAAAAATTCTCCCTCAACAATACATATGCTGAAATGACATTACTATCACACACAATTCTGTACATGACCACTCCAAAATTTTCCACTTACATATGCCACTGCAAACTAGCCACAAGACACTATCAAAGAGGTGAAGTTCATAGAATTCTTCATATATAAAATAGGCAGACCAAATACAATCTTTAGTTTTATACAATTAATATGGTGTTGGACATTATCCATCATCCTGTCTATTCTTAAAAAACCGTCCTGTTTCTTTAAAAAAAAACGTTTCAGGGACTGGATTGTCCCCCTCTTCAAGGAAAACCTACTCAGTTGGGTCAAATAGACAGAGCCAGCCCCTATCTCCATTGTGTTTTTGGAAGAAACAGGACCGTTTTTTAAGAATAGACAAGATGATGGATAATGTCCAACAACATATTAATTGTAACAATTTACCATTGTCACAAAATTTTTGATCTTATTCAGTTTTATAATTGATCATATAATACTTGTCATTTAGATCACTAATACTGTGTTATGTTGGCAGACAATTCAAAGACAATTAAGAGCCTCTCATGCAAATCCGAGCCTTTGGCAATGCTCTGACAAGACATCTACATCTGTCACCCCTGGGCTTACAAACAGTAGTTATTTGAAATGATTTAGGAATTTAGAACTAGTTTTAAAGTAAGTGACCCAAATATTTTAAGAAAATTATGTAAAGTTTTCTGTCATACTTCTTGGCTCTGAAGATAGTCAACTGAGGCTGAAACATTACAGGGTGAAAGATTACTTAATCATAAAAAAATAGATACTCTTCATGGAAATGTTATGCTTATCTTATTATAAACACTGTATTGGCAATATTGACATACATTAAATTATGGACAAATGCACTGATGGACAAATATAATGATGAAAATAAAAAATGATGAAATGTGCCAAGATCATTTCTATCAGTGAGACCCCTACGAAATGTCTTAATATTTGTCTTGGAATGATTTCTCTATAACATCTTTTATTCTTCATATTTCTACATCAGGAACAGTTTCAGTGTGTCAATGTAATTTATTTTCCAGGGATGAAACATCTGCTTTTGTATTTCACTACTGAATATGAAAAAAAAAAAACAAGAAATTTAACTTCTCTGTCTCAGTATAAACATGTGATATGTAGCCTCCTGTAACTCTCAATATTTCATGCCTTACCTATGCTGAGTTGCTACACAGAAATTTAAATTATCCTTCTGACCTGTGACAGCTGCTACTCCTAGAGGTCGAGGCTGAGCCATGTCTGTAGCAAGTTTGAAGCAAGGGAGGCCACCATACCACTTCTCCTGAAGAATGTCTATATAACCGTTTCTGGAGTATTTAGCTATCACTGCAGATATACTGTCCTGTCAGAAGAACATCAGTGAAACATAATAATCCTCAAGCTTCCTAAATAATTTTTAATTCAGCATTACACATTCTGACAGATATAATTACTTACTATTCAATGGTTCAGATCCTGATATTGTTACTTTCATTTTCATCAGCCATTTTACTGTTTACATAATATCACATGCACAGTTTCTGTGTTTGTATGGTTTAGGTGAGATTTTATGCTGGTTTACATTTTATCTATGGGACTTCTGTCTTCTTGAATACTGTATGATCTGTTAGTTATTTACCAATGTTTGGAGAGACCTACTCCCTCCATTGTTAGGGTAGAAGAGTAAGGCTGGTTTTCCTGATTAGAAGATTATATGTGGATACTATGTAGAGTAGCCTTTCCATGGAAGATTAGTATGTGAAATCTGAAGTTCCCATGGCAGTGACTATGAAGATTGCTGTCTCCAAGAATGTAACAATGGATAATGTGATAGACTCTTACCAATATTTCAGATGAACATTCTTAAATATTAGTTTACCTGGCATCACCCCACATGTCAATATTTTTTTTAGTCACCACAGTGAGCATCTCAAATCTAAGGGATTTCTATTTAACTACAAAGACAAGCTCTCAATCTTTGCATACTAAGAGCTATGGAATTGAATAAAGGCTTCTATAATCTTGTTATTGCTTGCATTAGTCTGTAGTGGGCTTGTTAAAAATGAAAAACAGTTGTGTGAGAAGGTGATCACATAGAAAATGCTCATCTATTTGTCAAAAAAGATAAAGATCAAGGTAAATTATGGGTAAATACATTTATATGTAAAGAATGCTAGTTGAGATTTTAGTTTTTTACAATAGTGAAGATTTAAACTCTAATCTTCTAAGATATGATATCATACAGACTTCTGGATGGTTACAGTTGTTTCAGAGGGAGCTTCTGCCTTCATCATCAGCATAGAAATCAGTGAAGCTGGAATGTAGGAAGGTTGATACGGCTATAAACCCTCATTTTAAAATTATTATGGGAAATAATTATGATGATAATGACATATGACCAAATTATTCTTAACTACAACTCCCTTAAGAAATAGGAGCTTTTATGTGGGACTGTAAAAATATTGGTTCATTATATACATTCTTACATAAATAATTTAATTCAGACACTAGTCCTGTTAGTTGCAGAAACAGAAATTAGCTCTTTATCACTTTATAATACAATCTGCGGATATATCAATATGATTTCAAAAGTATGTAACCATGTTCCTCAAGCTTACCTTGAGTGGGAAACCTTTTGTCATGCCTACAGCATATGTATCTTCATTGATGGCATCACCAATCTTCTGCAGTTTACAGCCATGATCTGTGGCTCGATAAAAATCCAGGATTGGAGTGTCAGCAATTAAAATATCTAGTGACCCATTCCTAGATGGAAAACAGCTTATGTAAAATTAATTTTTTATTTATTTGTCTGCATTAATGCATGCAACCACGTAAAACCTAAGGTAATTTTCTGCAATCTCTAGACATAGACGTCTGCTATGTACAGTGAATTTCCGGTTAATTGACATGTATGGAGAATTTTGATTTGTCAAAAGGTTAACCTTTTGTAGTATTGCTAGCGTGATGGCCCAGGATGAACCAAATCAAATTTATCAGAGCTGGTCAAGCTAAACTTTTAAATCAATACATCAACAAGAATGAAACTACTAAGAAGATATTGACCAAACACACCGAAAAAGTAGTTTCTGCCTGTATTGATATATTCTTCTGAAGATGGTACCTCAGACCGAAACATGTCAAGGGTGAAAGATTAAAAAGGAAAGAAAGAAAAAAAAAACATTTTATCAGTCACGCTAGACAGAGTTGATTAATATTCTATAACTAGGAAACTTACTTGAGATGGCGGATTCCATCTTCAACATCTACTACTGAATACTTCTGCATGTGCTCCCACAGATGCTGATTGGCTCGATGGATATAATAATCTGCTGCTGATGCCCTTGGTGCACCAACTCGCTGACTCAGCAACTTAATGAAAGACATTATTAATTTTCATATTATAGTAAACTGAGATGCTTAATTTGTCACTGAAATTGCCTAACACATCACTACATAAAAGGATTAATAGCAACACTGAATTAGTATCTAGTTGTCAAACCATAATTATGCAAAAAATACAATATTGTTAAATTGAAATTTATCACTAACAGATAATGCACATATTTCAAATTGATAAACAAATTTTATGTAATCAACGGCAACATTAACATCTAGCAGTCAGGAAGTTGAGCTGCTTGTTGACCCTCTGGTCTCATTCATCCAGCAGTCTCACCAAAGGTCTTCCCCAGTTCTCCATAAGCATGGTTTGTAAATTTGTAGATCTGGAAGTCTCCTTGAATTTCGTAGCACGTATTTTAGAATTCTCTTCAGTATTGTCTGTTTTTTATTCATAATTTATTTCGTGACATCTTTAGCTCCAGCTACATAGTGTGTTATGGTGAGATAATTAATAAATGATGAATGGGTAAGGATATGGAAGGGATGGGTCATGGCCATTTCAAGTGGCTGCAATTCTTACTCCATCACATACGTGAGAGGACTGTAATGTACGACCTTCTCAAACGCTCTGAGACCCAACTGATGGATATTTAGCAATCTGTCATGTTGTTCGTTGCATCAGAGCTGTAGGTAAGCATTAAAGTATTCGGGCGCCAGAGCCCACAGTCTGTGCTTCAAGCTATCGCCAGTTGTTGATTTCAGTGTGGCGCTGTGTGCTTTAAAAGCAATTAATCTACTTCACCGAAACACAGATCCTTCCTCATTGTTAGGGGTAATTGCGCGTCCGGTAGGCAAGAAACAATGGTGCGTTGCTCTCAGAGCTGCTGACGTGTGAAATTAATTTGTCTTCATGTTGCAAGTACAGTAATGTACAGGCCATTTATGTTCAATTTTACTAACTGTGGAAAGTAATAAAAAACCAGAAACGAGTGCAATTTGCGGGACATTGGGGATAATTTCCGGGGATGAGGAATATGGCTTTAATTTCCGGATCAATCCCGGAATTTATGGGAACGTTGGTCACCCCACACACAGGAATCGCATTTTTTTTACCGCACTCGGTTTTAGCCTAATGGTTATCCTGAGGGTTTTCGTGAAATTTCCTTTCCATATCCAGGAAAATACCGCGATCACTTCTTTCCAAATCCTTTCCAATTAATCAATAATTCAATCCTACAATTCGACCCTATAGAGTCTAGTTACTGTTAAACGTCATAAAGTAACTCACAAACCATCACGAAATTTAATTACATCATGAACCCTCTTTTCTTCTTAGCTTATCTTCTGCAAATTTTCCTGTAACTTTACACTTTCAGACACTTCTACTTTGAAGCGCTCCCTAAAGGCAAGGGACAGTGGGACCGGAAATCATGGTTCAATGGTTTTGATTTATATTCGAACGTTCAGGGTTTAAATTTCGACTATAAGATCAGATATTCTGAGCTTACTGATTTTGATTTCTTAAGCCGTATAAGAAAATGCTGGTGCACTACCTTAAAATAAGTTAGAATTGCTAGTTTTCATAGAATTTTAAATTCATAATTCATAATATCATGTAGCTTGATGCTATGAACAGTATGAATTCGATTAGGCATCGTTGTATAAAACCAAGAATGTGCAGATCAAGTTTTATAACCAAACTCAACTTTTATCAGTTACATATTGTCACGTATCACAGTGACTAAAGACGGGGTTCGGATTGGTAATTGGATTTATTAACCACCTACAGGTAATCAATGCAATTAATTATTACTCTATTGTTGGTCTACACAATTTCAAGTTCACCCCTGTACACGCACTAGATTCTCAGTTTCCGCTAGTCGGGTCCTAACAACGGCTCACAAGAGAGAAACTATAAAAGTCTCACTAAATTACACATTCCCAATATCGATGTTCTACACTAAGTCCTCTAATTCTTCTTCTGGCCACACTGCTGTTCCTTTGGAACTTCAGAACTCAAGCGAAGTCAATTCCAAAGTCAAAGTCACATTGCGACTGACGGTCTGTCGGTCAGTCAGTCAGTCAGTTAGTCAGTCAGTCAGTCTTGGTTTCAAGTCCAATCTGGGGCCTATGATCAGATATTTATTACGATTTGTCAGTTACGGTCTTGTTATTGTGGGGCGCCCTCTCTGACGAGAGACCGGGTCTGTCTTTTGTCAGAGTCATTCAATTCCCATTCCTGTATTCTCTTATATTCTCTCGGCACGGACCATGCACAGAAAAAACAGCCCCTCCATTGTTGCTGGGCCAGACCACACAGAAAACACGAGTTACCACCAGACTGCGAGTTCATTGGTCCGTTAGTAGCATTAGGCATGGCGCGGACGACATATAAAACACAGTCTCATCTATCGTTGAGTGTTGCACCGTGTTTACAGAGCTGTTGCCTGGCAACGCGATGATCAAATCTGCTACAATATCTTTGACCTTTTGAACATTCGAACATAAACTATAAGGTTCCTTTGCTCAGGCCTACTATTGTAATGTTTCTTCAGTTTGAAGAAGAGTGTAGCATTTATCCCGAAAGCATTGGGGCCGTTATCACAAAATAGCAAGTTAATGGAGAAAGTCTTTGGGACTTTTCACAACGATGAAACTATATTATATAAATTGTGGCGGCGCTGAAGTTGAGCCTAGCACATTCATGCAAACCCTGTCAGTTACTTATGTGAACTAATGTGAGTTGGTGGGGTGGGCTATCTCCCAAGACTTTAATCAGGATTAACGGACGAGATATTTATACACGTTGGTCTCGAGGGTCACAAGGTTAGAAACAGCACGAGATCGTGGCTTTAACATTGCTTAAGCTGCCTGTGTCATCCAGTGCGACGAGCTGGTCTGCCTACCCACTGCACTGCCACAACGCGAAACAGGGCGAGATAATGAAAACACACGCGCGTTCAAAGCAGATCTTTCTCATGTCCACAGACGAGAAGATATGGAGTTTACGGAGGGTCTACGAAAATTAAAAATTCTGGTTTGTGTCTCACATTGCGTTGTACCAACAAAACTGCCTTTCTACGATTTGAGGGTTTCACGGTAGTGAATATGAAGAATACCGTCTTCTGGGATGTGGCGCCGTGTAGATCCTGAGTGAACCGAAGTTTCGGAGGAACCTATCGCCTCCATCTTTAGGGCAGAAAAATCCGCGAGCAAGGAATCAGATTGAGCAGGTGGCTGTGAACATCGGTTCACACAGGACCTAAACGCGCCACATCCCAGAAGACGGCATTCCTCAACTTGCCTTTATTTTTCACTGTATCTTGAAGCCGGATGGGTGAGTCGGGGTGTCACAGAAACGTGCTGTATACTGGCATTCATTAAGAGGCAGAGCCGTTGGCATTGACCGTTCTTTTGTACGGTTACAAAACTTGATATCTTGGGAGAATATTCAGAGATAAGACACAGAAATACTAAAAGTTTGTACAGAAATTTATATTGAGGAACTTTACGATTTTCACTCTTACTGAAATTATCAGGTAAAGGAAGGTAAAATGGGTGAGGCTTGTAACACGCATCGAAGAATTGAGAAATGTATATAATATATTGGTTGGAAAACCTGAAGGAAAGGCGCCACGTGGAAGATCTAGATATAGACAGAAGGATAATGAACCGTGACCGTAAAAATGAAACCATTAAATCCGACAAAGCCATCTCGTCATTCTACTTTTCCATATTTCCTCTCCTTTAATATATAAATTAAACTTCCTAAAGAATTAATATTTAGAGAAAATCACTTCCAAATATTTCTTGACTATGCAGTTGATAAAATAATAGATAGCATCACATGATTTCAAATATTTATATTTCAAAGGTCGAAATATCACCGCAGGCTGTGTTCCACTTTTAACATATCAAGTTAAAACAAATCAAACACTTTCGTAATAATACTGAATGTTTTGCGTGGTTTCATTAAAAATGTTCCATAATTTTGAAACGGTTTAATTATCACAATATAGCTGCATATTTCCAGAACACCTAGTAGTCCTAACTATATAATTTAAAGTTCCTAAAGTGAATGGAGCTAGTGTTATTTCAATTGAAGTATTTCGCACGATAGCCATGTTGGTTCTTTTGTTAGTCCCTCCGTGAGAAGATCTCTAACTGCAGTATATTCACACAGAGTTTTCTGAAAGTTGGTCAGGCAATTTCTACAATATTGATGCTTGTAATCAAATCCGGGAACAAAGTGGCATGCAAACAGACAGACACACGTAGCTACTTGACAGGTCTTCGAACAAAGAACTATGTTAAATAGGGCCGTTGATTGCTGAGCATGGCCAAGAATCGAGGAGAACAATCACTCTCATTAAAGCATTGCTACGAGGAAAGAATGAAGGCATGATATCAATGGGAACTTGCCCTTTTCACTTGATTTGGAATTCAATTTTTCCGCTCTTTATTAAATTTCAAAGCCAAGAGTGTTTAAATAAGAGTGACGAATCTGATTTCTGAATCTCAGTTACACACAGTCCTGTCTCGTTGGAGCAACGGAGGGTACACACGCAGTCTCTTGGCTTAGGTTTCACAATTACTTCCTAAATAGAAAATTGTGTATAGTTCGTGGTTAGGGTTTCATCAAGAAACCTTACATATTTTTAATACTGCGCATAGAATGAAACAGAGGTGTGACAGGCTGCAGAGAATTGTCGGTACGAGGGAAACTGTTTCAGAAATTTATTCATTTTAAAACTTAGGAAATCTGAAAATCAGGGACTACCAATAAGCAACACAAAATTAATTGAAGCAATATCCTGCAGTAGGAGTCGGGATGGCTTATTCGGTATAGCGACTGACTCAGGGCTGGACGACCGAGGAGTCGGAGTTCGAGTCCCGGTAGGGTAAATAATTTCACTTTTCCATGTCGCCCAGATCGGTTCTGGGGTTCACCCAACCTCATATACAATGGGTACCGGATGCTCTTTCCCGGGGGTAAAGTGGCCGGGACGTGAAGCTGACCACTCTTCTTC